ATTAATTAAAAATGTTTTAATGTTGTTTTATTTTATTAATTAATTATTTTAATTTAAATAAATGTAATTTATATATTTTAAATAATCTAAATGAATTATTATTATTATTATTATTCATGAAAAATAAATGAACACTAGTTTATTGTAGTAACATTCAAAGTTATATTACATATAGTACAGTACAGTACAGTTCAGTATTGTACAGTTTGCATGTAATTACTGTCAGTATTTTACTGTAGTAAATGCTGAAGTGTGCTGTATAGTGAACAGTGTGCAGACGGTGTTTCTGTGCTGAGGAGTCTCTGCTTCTCCAAACTGAGCTCGATCAACAGGTTGTAACACACATCAGCCAACAGTTCACAGCAGCTTTGTGTTACAGCAGATTTGACTGTTCTTTTGATCGTCTGCCAAATCTGTGTGTGTGTGTGTGTGTGTGTGTGTGTGTGTGTGTGTGTGTGTGTGTGTGTGTGTGTGTGTGTGTGTGTGTGTGCTCAGACTGAAACACATGAAAGGCAAGACTGCTGAAATGCAGGAGTGAACGCCGAAAGCAGGGGTGGAGGTGTAAATATGGCGTGCGTGCGTGCGTGTGTGTGTGCGTGTGCATGTGTGTGTGTGTTTTCCCTGAGATGAGCAGTATGGAGATGAGTCACTGAAGCAGAATCTGTAAACTTTACCGTGACTCATCTGAGCAGCGCATTGGTCATTGAGTGCAAAGTGTGTGTGTGTGTGTGTGTGTGTGTGTGTGTGTGTTGCAGCCATCAACTGTTCCCATATCTGGGTGTGGTGGAAACAGCCACATCAAAAAATAAATCATCAATCAACTAAATATCCTGTGTGGATATATTAAAATGTGATAAATACAAGTTAAAGTCAGATTATCCCCTTATTAATGCTGGTTTTGTTGATGAATTAACGCCGGAGAGCTCCAGATGAGGATTTTCTGTCTTGAGTTTGATCGTTTAATTGCACTGCATGTAGGAACATTGTGGAGAATCTATTTTAGGATCTGCTGAGGTGTTTGTGTGATTGACTCCGCTATTAACAGCACTTGTCATTTGTTTTCTAAACATTCAGACATTTTTAAATAGTTTATTAAATACTTTCTGAATTATTGCTTACGCTGCCGAGTGTTGTCTCACTATCTATAGAATGCTGCATTGTTACAATTTAAATAAATTAAATGTAGTAATGTTCAACTCAATTTGTTTGTAAGTTCAGCCCAAATAAGTTGTTAACTTAAAAACATTAGTAAGTCCTGGTAATCATCGTTGAATCATATTTTTTCAGTGTAAATGCACAAACCCAAGTCAAGTTTTTCAATTAAATGTAGAGTTCATGCTTTAACCCAGTGCCTGGTTTGTCCATTTTTGACCCAACATTGAGTTAAAGCAGCCCAGAATTGTAAAACTGTAGTATTCTATTAAACAACTTAATTAACATTTCTAAATCTGTTTAGAAATTAAATATAATGTTGTATATATTATATTAATTATGGTTAGTTTAAGAAGAATAGATTAAGGCTACACTTTAAAACATGCTGGGTTATTGTAACTCAACTGTTGGCTTAAAAATGTTTAGTAAATTACATTATTTATATATTAGGGCTCCACGATATTGGAACAAATCTAACATTGTGATATGTTTTATTCTGAGATATATATTATTATATTAGGAAAGAGTTTATTAAGATTGATTGTGATTTAGGGGAATGCAAATGCTTAAAATATAAGAAACAGTCTACAAATGTGGATAAATTCAATTCAAAAGAAACAGATGAAATAAACTGCATTGTATTGCTTTCTGAGGAGTCGAACTGTGTTCAGGTATACTGTAATCAATAATCAAATGTAAAGTAATACTGCAGTCTTTGTTTTATAAACAGTTCAATACAATTAATCATTTTTCATTTGTCAAAGTTACAAACGGCACAATTTCTGAAGCCTGAATGCTTTTAAAATCCTCAGTTACATGCCTCAAAAACACCTGCGACATGATCATCATCCAGACTCAACATAATCTCGCAATGTGACTATTGCTAACGTTCACATTGTGATATCAATGCTGAAACTATATATTGTGCAGCACTAATATATACATAATAATAATAATAATAATAATAATAATAATAATAATAATAATAATAATAATAATAATAATAATACAGAAATCTGGCATGCTACAAATTTTAATTGACATTTCTTAGTATTTATTCTGAATGTATTCCTTCATGAAATGGTTTTGTTTTCCTGTTATGAAAACACATGCTGAGTTGTTTACATGTTAATTTAATTAAAAAGCGTAATTTCAATTTATTTAAAAACAAAAAACTAACACAACATTGGCTTTGTCCATATTTGATCCCGCTTTTAGAGTGTTTGCTCTGTCTAAATGTGCCTGGAAAGCATGCAGCTGCTCCTCTGACTGCGTGTTTCCTCTGTCCGCTTCAGCTGATGACCGCTGGGTGGCGCTTCAATATCGCGGATGTGCTCCAGCTCCGACACAAAGACGGATCTGCTCACCAAAACTGCTCCTCATACTTAATCAACCCAAATAGATCTCACCGTTATTGTGCTGTCAATGGACTGAAAGTTAAACATTTGCATTTACAGCGCGAATGATTTGGCAATCAAACTGTAATCAATGTAGGCCAGTCATAGGTTCATTCCTGCATTAGTGTCAGCTGGCGGTGTGTAATCTTTATTGAGCATTATTATTCTGGAGACTACTGTAATCACATTAGACTCATCTCAGAACTATAATTGTGTAATAGTCATGACCATTTCATGTTAAATTTAATATAAATGTTAGATATACTCGATTTGTGTTGTATTCTTTTTTATTTAATGTAATACCAGTTATTATACATGTCATTATATCATTAGACCGTGTAAATGCTGTCATTTATGCATTTGTTTATGTATATAAATGTATAAAAGTGAGATATTTTAACACAGCACCTCTCAATTCGTCTGAATTCACATTAGACAACACATCTCAGACAGTATAAGGATAAAATAATGCATCATGTTTGGAAACAGAGTTTAGTAAAGGATGACAGATTCAGCATTTTAATAAACACTTGAAGGTTTTTCGGCTTTTATTACACCAGTGATTTATAAAAGACATGGCTCACAGCACTAAAGAAGAATAAATAAATGCTGGGTTGTTGTAACCCAACGCTGGGTCAAATATGAGCTCAATCATTGCATTACAAAGTGACATTTAAATATAATAAACAACCAAAAAAACTAAAGTTGCACTTGTCCATGCTTGACCTATTGTGGGTTACAACAACCCAGCATTTTAATGTGATTTATTACACATATTTCCATGTTTTATTTATTAATTGTGAACTATGGAGTCGTGTTGACTTCGACAGATTCTCTTCTGACAGAATATTAATCATAGGCTAAATGAATCAGTGTGCCTTCTTACTCGATCAAAAGTTCACCGGAGCAATGCATATTTAGGTTTTTATTTAATATTCTTATCTCTGTCATGTCTTTCAGCAGCTCACCCATCAATACTGTAAATAACAGCCTCATTTAAAGGTACAGGTCGGCCAAACATGAACACTCTCTCTCCTACAAACCCCAAACACCTTCAGTTAAAGAAGATATATTGAAGAAAGCTGGAAGCAGGACTCGCATTTGATTTCCTACTGTGGAAGTCAGTGGTTGCAGATCTTTCTTCAGAACATAGTAGTGTTCAAGACAACAAGGGAAACTTGTAAAAGTGACACTCGAGGACGAGTAAATAGTATTTAATCATTTCCGTGTGAACTATCCCTTTAAATCTAAAAATAACACACTGATCATTTTTAAGTTAACACTTTTTGCATATATATGCATGCATGTGTGTGTTTGTAAATGCGTCGTGTGTGTGTGGAGGACACTTTGCCATGTACTTTGCCCCGTGGCCGCTGGGTGGCGCCAGCTTTGGCTTTATCAGCAGCAGAACTCAGACGCTCCGTCGCCGCCGTGTAATAAACACGACTCCGATAACGAAGGCGCCAGGTGAGCAATAGAAAGAGCAATTGCGATAGTTTACCTGGTGTTTACCACTGTTCTTCAGCGCCAATGCCGTTACTTATTAACCATACTTTATACAAATAAAGATATAGTGTTGATAAACTCTGACTCGAGGCTGCACGGGGTGGACAGTCAAGTTATTTTACATTCTTTCAGGTTCACTTCGGTCCACATAAACATGCGAGAAAGGCCTCATAAAGATGTCTAATGTACAGGAAAGAATTCAGGGACCTGCTGACGAGATGTGCTAATATACTTTCGCTTTTTCGACTTAAGAACGAACAGAATTAAAGGAACATTCCCCCCCAAAAATTAATATTCTGCCATGCTCATATTCCAGCTGTTCCTAACATGGTTAGTTTTTACTGAACACATAATTTGATGAACACTAATCTGATAAATCGCTAACCATTGACGTCTGTGGGGATGTTGGTTTCCTCAAGATTGTCTTTTGTGTTCAACAACACGCAAAAATAAACGCGTTCGTGTTTAATTGCTGAGTATATCTTTAATAAACTCTGTTTTCAGGGATAGTATCGGTCAATATTTGAATAAACGCTTTTATATCCTTCAATTGTTGGTACGTCTGTAGTGAATTAAACTCACAAATCATTTGAAATAGTTTACATCCATTTTAGAACCATTTAAAGCATATTTTAGAGCATGTGTACGTGTTTAGAAGTGCCTCGTCATCAGACTGTTAATGATAGGAATTAAGCACGCTGGAGTCCGCACATAATGCCAGCAGAATGGAAAATCTGCATTTCTCTCCGCCTTTCCTGAATCTTTTATCTAAGCTATTTGCTTTATTTTATTTATTTATTCTTGGCAGTTTCGACTCATATGTCACCAAAATAATTTTAACACACACACACACACAAAACACACACACACACACACACACACACACACACACACACACACGCGCGCATTTTTAGTTGCTGGTAAAGAAGACTGTCATGGAAAAAATGGTGTTAACGTCTTTAATTTGTTTGAACCAAAGCACTTAAACACACAACAGTTAATCAAAACGATGGCACATTATTTTTTCCGCTAGAGAAACTAGCACTGTGGTGTTACGGGTGAAATCCAGAGTCTGGAGGACGCAATCAACAGGGAAAATGCTCACAAACTATTTTACATTTATGTCAACAATAAATTAAGTTCCTTCAAACAAACAAACAAATAAACAATGCACCTCAGATATATTTACAGGCAATATTCTTATGAAATAATTACATAAATATGATATATATATATATCGCTATTTACATTTTATTATCATACGATCCATTCTCGATCCATATGATCCCTTTTCCCAGTTTATCTCGAAGCTGGACTTTATAAACAATTTTAGTACCGCACAGATAATCAAATAAGTAATTAGTGGTCTTTGGACAGAGATTAAAACAAAACATTTGTTTGACTAGACTGCCTTCCTTAATTTAAGAATTAAATAAAAAGCAATATATATATATATATTCTAAGTATAGACTGAAAGAAGTACTGACTCGGTCACATTGTAAAATATTATTAAAATGATGAATTCGGCAGTCCTGATGACGGTGGTGCTTTCTGTGTTCATAAAGTGGTATAAGCTGAAGTAAGAACCTGTTCAGAGTGCATATTAAATTAAATTACCGTCACCCTGACATTAAACACACAGAAGAGCAGCTTCATTCAGTCTCTCGCCAAACTGTTCAATACTTCAGTGGTATTCAAATATAGTTGGGGGAATCAAAGTTGCCGTTTTCATTTAAAGGGTTAGTTCACACAAACATGAGCGTTCACTCACTATTGCTCACCATCAAGGGGCTCCAGACCAAATGAGTTTCTTCCTTCACAATAATTAGACACAAAATTAAATATTTTGGAGAAAGCTAAAAACGTCTGTAGAAAGAAAAAAGTCAATGCACTGAAAATAATCATTCAAGGATGATTGCTTGGATTTACTTTTTTTTTAAGTTAAGGGTTTGTAAACAATTTATTCGGGCTGATTTTAAACAAACAAACCAAGTTGAACATTACATTAAATTTAATTTGTTTGTTTAAATTCAACACAAATAAATTGTTCAGCGTGGTTACAGGTTTTCTCTACATTAGGATAAAGAAACTCGCACAGGTTTGAAGCACGTGGCCGGTGAGGAAATGATGACAGACTTGTCATTTTTGAGTGAACTGTGCCTTTCTCTATAGCATCATTTGACGTGTTTGTTTGTATTTCTTTATTTTTCCCAAAGTACATTCTGAGCCTGTTTTTCCTCCTGTAAACGGGTGTATAATGTCGTGTATTTCCTCTCCAGTCGCCGGCCTACGGGGACACACTGCGGGCTCGGTCCGGCTTGGGCTCCAGTCCGCTCACCAGACGCTGGATGCTCTGCAGCTCGGAGCTCGAATCTTTTTCGGTGCAGGTTTTCGGCGACAGTGAAACAGAACCGGAAGAGCGGCTGGTGACCTCAGAGTCCAGAGCAGCGGAAGCGGGGCTGGTGTTCATCCCATCGCCCTTCACCTCCAGTCCGCTGCTCGCCATGGGCTGCATCGCCGTCGTGAGCAAAGTGCTGTCGGGGACACTCGGTAACGAGTACGGGCTGTACCGCAACCGGGGCCGCACCGCGCTCAGAAACGGGTGCCGGTGCACCGAGGAGGAGGCGGCGGATGAAGCAGCTGCAGCGGCGGCCATATACGTGTAGGGGTACGGGAACAGACCCCCGAAAGGAGACATAGCCAGACCCTACAGATAGATAAATAGATTGACAGACGGGCAATTATTAATTATAATAAATAAACTGTTCATTGCAGTGCAATCTGAAAACAGCTGGGGTCCTGTAACCCTAACGCTGGATAAAATGTGGAGAAACTCAACAGTTTGGTTAAACAAATTAATTTAAATTCAATAAAAATAATCAACAAAACTTTTGATTTTGTGGTTATTTGACTCAACGTTTGCTTACAACAACCCAGCATATTTTATTTCGGAGTTAGATATTAGATATAAATGTAGAGTAGATATAAATTGACCATAGCATGATAGTGTAGTTTTTTATTTTATTTTAATCAATGCCAGAGATCTAAAATATGTTGAATATAAAGTAAGAATATTCCCTTATTTTTTATCCCACGCTTTCGTTTTCTCGTCAATTTATATTCACCTCATTCTCTTGACACGAGTATACACTATTATACATTATTAGCTTATATACATACTTAAGGTGAAAAGGTTAAACTAATTGTTATTATTAAAGATCAATTTTACCTGAGCTAACCTACAATTTGTTGCTGAAATTAAATGAGTTTGACACTTTTAATTAAATGAATTATGCAATCTCTGTAATGCTCGTTTAGGTGCTGTGTTCATCCAAGAAAAGCTCATTTTTCTTTTCTTTCTTAATTCTACGTCAGATTAATTGCGGAGTATTGCTGTGGGCACACATCCGTCAAGCGCAGCTTTATTACTGATCTCCAGCAACAGTTGTCAGTTGCTCTATATTTGCTGACAATTTATGGACTGTACAACAAAGACTATTAAAATCACCAAGGTATGCCACACCTCATTTTTTCTGCAACAACACTTAAATATAACGACGACGTCGCCAAACAACACTGTAAAAAGCGGGGCTGTGCTAACCTAACGTTGGGTCACATTGAGAAACCCAGCAGTTTTGAAATTAAATGAAATAAAAAACGGGATTGTTCATATTTTACAATTTTTTTTTGTTGTTTTTTTGAGTGAGGGTAAAATTTTTCAAAAAGACGCACACAAATAAATCCAAGACAGAATTTTCGCAGTGATGTCCTAAAAATAATCCATCGTGTTCCCTATGGAAACTTTCAAAGAGCAAGTCTGGAAACTATTTTTTAGGTCTGAATATTATTGTATTACCCATAACTGAAATATAAAGCATTTAGTGTGCTAATAAATTAATCATTATTTTAGTAGACTACAGCATCGATGACATGACTTTCACTGCTGTGCATTAATATTAATGGACTTACCTGAGACGCCAGCACGTGCTGCTGCAGATGAAACGGCATCGGGGCTCCGGTGAGGCTCTGTGAGGGCGAGGGCAGGCTGGACCCGTCCAATGAGCCTACTCCACCAGAGGACACCGCGGCCAGTATGGGGCCCATCCCTGCGGCCATGTTGGAGAAAGCGCCTCCCATGTTGAACTGGCTGGGGTGAAGGAGGAAAGGATGGGCACCACCCAAATGATTGAAAAACTGCTGCCCGGCCAAACCCGGCGGAAATCCGAAATTGTGCAAGTGGTTTTGATTTAAGTGCGCTGCGCCGTCTGTTTGCACAGTCAATGGCATGTAATTTTCCTTGCTCACTGTCCGGCAGTCGTCTGTAGTCTTGGCCGGTTCTCTTACCGGACTCTTGAGCTCCTCTCCGGAGCGGGTGGTGCTGGAGATGAGGGTGATGGGGCTCCGAGAGTCCGCGCGGGTCTTCTCGCTTCTGCGACCCGAGGAGGAGTCGCTCTCGCCGAACACACTCTTGCCCAAACCCGCGTCCTGGTCCTTGGAGTCCTCGGTGGTGGTGGAGATTTTGCTGGAGTCTGGCCCTTCTTTTGCGTTCGCGTCTTTGTCTTCTTCATCGCTGTCTTCATCGCTGTCACAGAAATCTGTCAACACAGATCGGGAAAGTTGTAAGACCATTCATTGTTTAATCATGCGAATCTAACCGAAAGGTTACACCACACACACATGTGTCACTTTTTATAAACACCAGCAGCGAGATGCATATCGTTTTAAACGGCGAAAGCACAACTCAGAACGCGCACGCATTAATACTAATATGGTGCACTGCGGACAGCAGACTCAGACTTCCTGCAGCACACTTTCATCCAGCATCTAAATAACTGCATGTACAAAACTAATCATCGTGCTCTTAAATTAGCAATGACTTGTTTTAGTCTCCCGGACAGAATTAATCGCAGGCTACTTTTGTTGTCGCATTTCCAAGGACATTCTCTAGAAAAAGAAATGTCGATTTTGATCTAGGAGAAAATGCATACGGCTCATGTCTGTCTGACTGTCGTACCTTTTAAATGATTGTGTCCAGCAGTCGAGACCGCAGGAGATGAAGCCTGGCGAAAACACTTGAAGGACGCCTGCTCGCCTGAGGAATCGTCTGACGTCCCGTTTTCTTTTTTCTGCTGCTCCTCATATGAACGCATCGATTGCAGAGCCAGCTGCTTCCTGTATCACACACATTTCCAAGACAGGCCATTGAGAAGAGAAATTGCCTCTGTAAGCAAACTCAGAATTGTATTACAGACGATTCAAACAAGAGCGTGTTCTTGAGTTCACCGCTCTCCTCGCGTTTTACGACGAAAATGCACGATTCAATTATTAAAACCAACAGAGTCCAGTCTTTAAATGAGCCCAGCTTTACCTTTTTTCGCGTCTCCCATTTCCAGTGTCCCGAAATCCTTTTGCAAAAGGATTGTGGTCAATTTTCAGTTGTGTGATCTAAAATGCAATCACATTTAAACAGAACATGAGCTTTTATTTACGTCATTCTGTGCAAATACAATAAGCTTAATTGCAACACTAAAATGCACTTCAGAAGACAAGTCTTTGTGACTTATATTAGACGTAATGAGCTGTCCTGTATGCTTGCTGTATATTCATATAGCTCTGCCTGCACGCAGTAACTTGTCTACTTTTTACTTTCTCAGAAGCAACTTCACAGGAAACAAAGAGAGCATTTCCAGCTCATAAAAATTGGGAGGCTTTTATATTATCTACAACCCCTCAACACGACTTCAGTTTCCTCCTCGTCGTTTAATGTTGTCACTGTGTAATATTGTTCAGTTGTTTTCTAATAAACACACACGCTAATTTCGGAGTCTCCTTTTTGTTCTTTCTGAACCTCCCTCAGTGAGCAGTCCTCCCTTCCTTCCTCCCTCTTCTCATTCTTTTAAACACACACACACACACACACACACACACACACACACACACACACACACACACACACACACACACACACACACACACACACACGCTTCCACTAACAAACTTGAATTTCTGCGGCTGCGATTCTGTGTTTTTCTGTCTGTGCGAGTTTTTGTGATGATGTAGGCCTCACTGGAGCATTTAACAACACACTCGCTTATATTTGACCGAAATGCAACAACGACTGCTCTTCTGGTTTCCAAACATTTACAACAAGCATTCAGCGATATGCATCGCAGTCATTTTAAACACACAGAAGTTCGTTTTGACCAACCTTGTCGTTCTGGTAGGCAGTGACAGCAATGAAGTCTGTCTCGGGGAACACGTAGGTCCTGAACGTGCTGTAGGGGAGCTTCAGTATGTCGTTGGCTCTCACGATGTGAAATCTTGGCTGGTATTTGTGCATGGAGTTTAGTATCGTCTAAAACACAAATTAGCCTGACGTTATATTAAATATTCGTGATTTTTAAATAACATTTAGTAATCCTGCACTTACGAATGGTGCAAATCAAATACATTTTATTTATTTTCTCCTCTAAACAATCTTTTCCAGCTCAAACACATCCGTGTATTTATTTGAAATATAATACAAAGTATTAATAAAGAAAAACAATTATCCAATAGTTTAAATTCTTATTACTGAAGCTTGCCAGACAGCATCGAGTGTTTTCGATTAATACAAATAAACTGTATAAAGATTACACCTATATCAATATCAACCACAATACTTCTAATACTTACAGCAATAATAATGCTAATCATAATGCATTAATAGGAGTTGATGACTGTAACTTACGAATCCATGCTTGTCGGAGATGTTATTTGTCAGTTTAAGTTTGTGAAAATTGACGACTTTAGACATCCATTGCTCGCCAGTGGCCGGACTGTCGGGGTGAATGTACATCCGTTTTGGCATTTCGGGGTCAGCCTTTCCTGCCACCATCCAGCGAGAGTTGTGAAATTTATACCTGCAGTCATCAGCGGCGACAATATCCATCAACAGAATATATTTGGCCTTTTTGTCCAAGCCCGTGCATCTGACTTTAAACGGAGGGAACATTCGCCTACAGAGGAGGGCAGAAATAAACGAGCAGGGTTACATTTCTGCATCTCTGCACAGCGAGCTGTATATTTGGAGGCTTTTTATTTACTGTGGATCGGAATTGAAGCAGCATTGCGTGCAGACGTGATTTAGTTGTGTGCACGTGTAGGCCCAGACATTGGGTTGAACATGTGAAATGCCCCAAAATATAAAAACAGCGCAACAATTGTACATGCGATTTAAGGATAATAGTGAACTAGTTCACGGTTAAAAGGCAAGGCCATTTGACAACTCAAATTTCACAACATTACAAATACACTGAAACCCAACAGCTGGGATAAAAAGTGTATTTTAAATTGCTGAAATTTAAATATCTTAATTATAACCCAGCATTTTAGGAGTGTGTATATTCTTGGAGTTATCTGTTTAGAATCAGCTGAGTTGTTCGTTTATTTACAATATTAAGCAGTGCCTCCACTAATTAAAAGTGTTCCGATCGCTGAATTTCGATTCCGACATGTATGGGCCTAGTTACAAAACATTTACACGATAAACATTTCCCGAAAAGAACAAAAATAAACTAAAAACTCGTCTACATGCGAGTTAAATCTTACAAATCACATCGACGGAGCAATCGCTGCAAAATAAAATCTCGGTTTCTGTTTGTCTTAATTGAATTCAAAGCGCTGGATAATTTCATTTACCTTCCCGACTTGGTGATGACCATCTCGGTGCCGCGCTTGTGAAAAAGCTCCCAGAGTTCCTTGGCTTCGAGGTGAACTTTCGGATCGTCTTCGACCTCCTCCTCGGGCTCCAGTGTCTTTAGAGGCCGGAGATGCGCGGCTTGGTGTCCCAGCGAGGAGAAGTGCAGGCCGGTCTCCGCGGCGCCCATCAGCTGTTCCATGATGGGTTTGCCCAGCGCCCCGGGCAGCGACAGCGAGCCGTTGGGTGGCAGTGCCAGTGCCGGGAAGAAAGGCGGCTGGTGACCCAGCATTGCGCTCATGGCAAACTCCGGACCCCGGTGAGGTAAAAACGGGTGATATGCCATACTGGATCCCTGAATAACTGGATCTCTCATCGGGAAGTCCAGATTGCAGATGTGCGGTGTTCCTTAAATCGATCGCCTGGATGTAGAGTCGCTTAAAATCTGCGGTTCCCCTAACTCTGAGTTCCAGCAAAGTGTCGTGAGAAACAGCTATCCATTAATCGTTGTCTTTTACCACCGAACAATGAAATTTAAAATATATAAATATATGATAATAAAAGCACTAAAATGAAGGACGCTGTACGTCAACTCGCGGCGTATTTACGCTTCCTTCGGCTGTCAGTAAAATAGACATTCCCTTAATAATCAGATCGTCCAGACCAAGTCCTGCCAAAGAGACGTGTTGAAATATTTCGATGCCTCGGAATAATTCCTCTGTCTTTACTTGTCGGAGGTATACACCTTCACACGCTCGCACACACACTTTCTCTCCCGTGCTTTCACGCACACACACATTTCAGCAGAGCAGAAGCGCGTCCAGCACACAGATATTCCCAGCGCTTCTGCACTCCATGGGCTTCGGCGGTGTGGATGTGTTGCGTGTTTCGAGCCGCAGCTCTCTGTTGATTGGCCCTTTGACGCTTTCGGACCAATTGTGTGGCTCCGTAGGCGTGGTTTTAACAGGTCGGGTGGAGGGAAAAGACTTCAGACTTATAAAGAGGTGTTTGAGAACTCTATTGCTGCCGCGAAACAGCGCTGCTTCGCTCTCTGTTGTGTGAATATGTCAACATCATTAGGACACGCATCTGTCGGTCTGCGGGACCCAGAGAAGCTGAACTTCCCGGTCTCGTGCGCACAGCGTCACTGTTGGCCTCTTTTCGCGCACTGCAGATCAAATATCGCGCTCCTCTACCTGAGAAACGCAACAGGACACGGACGCACGCGTCGAAATTAGCGACGCAAATTACTAACCGGAGGATCCTCCAGTGTGGTGTTATTTAGGAAATTAGTTCTAATAATTTCTAGCATAATGCTTTCGCTCAGTTCTATTCAATGCTATTCAATATTCTTCCTCCCATTCGTTTTTATTTAAACACTTTTTTTTTTTGAGGTGAGCTAAAACAATTTGACCCAGTCGATGCGCGTTGACCCATATAGTACTGTGCCGCGCCGCGCCGCCAGCGAGATTTAATTAAAGCACACTGCAGCTTTTTACGCGTCGCATTATCACCTCATATTCATGATCCACTTTCATTCAGAGTACACATCCCTCCCCTGTCTATATTTCAAGAGAAATTGCGCGTGCATAAATGAGAAAGACTATATTAATATGCACCTGATGTGAGTTTCACTGCTGAACATGTTAAATAACCAAAGGATCGATAACAGTTTGTTTTTTTAAATTAGTAAATCAAACACTCTCTACTAAACTCCCCTTTAAAATGTTTCCTTCAGTCACTTCTTTATTTTAAATAGAATAAACTTTAACGCTGACACTCATACTAAACTCAACTGAAACGCTTTTAATTGAACATTTGACATATTATGACAAGTTTCTTCATCCGCTTTGAAAGTTTGCATTGTAAAAAGCGCCATATAAAGCGAAATATAGATGAACTGAATTGAATACACTCTGAAAATGTTGAGTAAATATGGACAAAAATAACATTGGCTTAGTTTTTAAAATTAAATTTATAGAACTAAACATAACCCCATGCTCCTGTCTGTTCATTTTCACCCAAAATGAGCTTTTAAAAACCCAGCGTTTACAGAGTGAGGATTAATGTGTATAAATGTCAGTTTTTACATTTCAGAAGAGCAAAATCAGTCATGAGCTCTGCATGTTCCCCTGATTCAGTGTTTTCATGATGCGTCTTTATTTTTAATAGCGCTGAAAAACACGTTATGAGCTCAGGCTGCTGTTATTTTCACTTGTTTTCACTGCATTATCAGCGCGTTGCTCAACTGTGTGTTTGGAAATGCCGCATTGTTGTGTTGATATGGATGTTGATCTGACGCTGGTCGGTGTGTTTGTCACTGGCGCCCGACACAAACACTGCCTTCATTCACACGTAAACAACACACGCAGACATCTGAGTTAAACAGTGCCTGAAACTGACTCAATTATCGAGTCAGCACAGAAGCATTTATCAGCCGTCATCAGAGGGCCAAATACTATCGCTGCCGTGGCCTGTCTGATGGCTACAATAAGCAGAAGCTCAATAACAATGTTCTCCTTCCACTGCAATGAGATAGCAATGAACAGTGTCAACTATTAATGAAAGATACTCTGATATTGTGTCTGAGGCTCGCACATTTTTGGCATACTCTATATTTTACAAAAACAATTTTTGCGTGTAGTCATTGAATGAACGATGATTATTTTCCGGTCTTGTTTATAGCAGAGGGGATTTTAAAATATCCTAATTCCCGAGAGCGCTTCTCGTAATTAAAGATCATACTTTGTAAATAGTAAACATACCAACGGAGAGAGTTAATTCCTCCAGAAATATTTAACTTCATTTATCTCCACTTGACATTTAAGCAGTTGCGTGTTTGTCTTTGAGTGGATTTATCAAGTTAATGACAATATAATCGCTGGCCATATAGTATACGCATAATAACCCATGCATCCCGAGAATCAGAAGAAAATAAGTGGCATGAAAAAGCACTTATATGGGTCAAAACCAAAAATTGTAATTTAAATTTGATTAAAAAATGTCATATTTGACCCAACGCAGTATTAAAACAACCTTGTATTCTTTGAGTGGATGCTTCTATAATGCTATAAGCTTATTTCATCGATGTAGTTAAAGGAAGATTAATAGACGACGCCAAACACAGGATCCACTCAATCATTTTTTAATCTCTCAGTCCTGAATGCAATCTGCACAATCTGAACCCAACTTTTTTACAATTTGTACAAGCTTCATAACAATATTTACATTTTAAACCAATCTGTGCACAAGCATTGAGATGGAAACCTCCACGATCAGTCAGCACAAACAGATCCTGCGTGATGCGGCAGCTCCATTATACGCTTTTCCTAAATCTGCCAGGAATGTTCATACCAGGCAGGCAAATCCTCCGCATTCTTCAGAGGTGTTCAGCAGTATTTCCCTTGACCGAGGTTTCACACACAAGTTTGAGTTTATTGGCACACAAATGTGTTCCTTCAGAACTGCACTGCAGTAAAGCATATTTCATTCAGGAGCAGAGTCTACACTGAAGTCATTCTGCTTTCTTCCTCCAACACACACACACACACACACACACACACACACACACACACACACACACACACACACACACACACACACACACACACACACATACACACACACCATTCATGCCGTACTGGAGCACTCCTGCTGTGAATCCTGACAGTATCTGCAGGCAGTTTTGACAAATCAGGCTTTCTCAACATGCAGATTACAACTTAAAATAAACACAAAAACCGTTTCTGCTTGTTCAAACTACTCATGTAAAATGAGCTTAAATTTGAGACAACTTAATAGTTTATGTTCAATCCTCTTCAATATGTTACTTAAAGGTAGTGGATTTGTGCTGGGACAATATGAATGTATTGTGCGGAGTGTTCAAACAGTGCACAAACAAACAATGAAGCAATAAGTGAAGGTTAATGGCAGCCGTTTTGCATCATTCTGTCTTAAATTAATATAAATGTTGCTGTTAAAGAAATGCAATGCAGACTGTAGAAATAATCCATGTTTACTTTACATTATGGTTATATTAATTAATATACATGAACAAACAATGAACACAGTATTGATTGATGATCGTTTAAGGTATTGAAAGTAAAGTCATTGTTAGTTGTTGTGCATTAACAGCATGCAGTAGTATTTTAATATTGCATTTATAAATGCTGAACTAGTAAATGCTGTACAACTATCGTTCATATTTGGTTCATGTTGGTAAATACATGAATTAATGAAACCCTATTGTAAAGCGTGAACACTTAAAACTTTAACAAATGCTGGGTTCAAATGCACCTATAGATGATATTCAAACATGAACCAGTCACCCAGACTTTGGGTTGAAGTAAGCCAGCATTTTTAGAGTGCACAAATCTATAATAATTATACAAGAATGAGCTCAATCTGTTTAAAGCATGCTGCGAACTCTGTGCCACTGCAGAACTTCCAAACTTTCCAATAGTAATTTATCTATGCCAAAACTTTATTTTAAATAACACACACACACACACACACACACACACACACACACACACACACACACACACACACACACACACACACACACACACACACACACACACACACACACACACACACACACACACACACACACACACACACACACACAGAGTTTGCATGCTCAGACCCAGATTTGAGTCAGATGAGCTGATAAACAAAGGGATCTCCTGCTCTGCTGGTTTGGGTCATTGAAAAGCCTCAGATCTGAGCCGCGGACGCTGAACTACACTGATCTGGTATTTACTGCCGGGAAATTCCTGTCAGCTCGCCGCAGGCTGTCAACTTTGATTTGATTTTTGTGCATTGATAAATTCTACAGAACTGCTGTGTTGAGGATGCCCGTTTGAGCTGATGCACATTTGTTCTCTATATGCGTTCAGCTGATGTTTGAGTTGGTGTGTAATTATTGCTGATTTCTCCACGGGGTCATTTTAAAAGAAGAACACACATCATGTTGCTTTTTGTTCTGCATAATTTACTTGTACACATTAAAAAAGGGAATTTTGCTGCTTGTTCAAACTACTAATTTAAAATGAGCTGAAACAACACAATTCCTGATTTTTTTAGGACAACCTAATTATTTTATACACTTTATACACTTCAATTTGTTACAATCACCTCAATTAATTTGTGTTGAGACAACATGAATGAGTTGTGTGGATCCCGGCATTCTTCAGAGTGCAGTTTATGAAGTTTATGGTATACACTATATACAGTGGTCAACATTTGAAATGGATCATAAGAAGTTAATCAACGTTCTCCTAAGATCAAAATGAAAGTTGTTCAATAGTTTTAGACGTTTTTCTTAAACATGTTCGATCCACTGCAAATGTTGATAATGTTACTCTTCAGATATGAACAGCTTGATCAAGAAAAGTAAATTACGGAGAATTACAAAGAGAATAACAGTAAAGTTCTACATATGAACTACACACTCTAAAAATACAGTGTTTTGGGTGAAATATGGACAAACTCAACGTTTTACTCAATTTTAATGACTTTTTTAAACCGAACAGCTGGGTTTGTCTATATTTGACCCAACATTGGGTGGAACAAGGGGGATTTTATATTTATTTTTTTAAATCTTGAGTTGTTTTTACTGTGTTAGCTTAGTTATGTTATTTTTTTTAACCAAACAGCATTTGTCTATATTCGACCCAATATTGGGTTAATAGGGGCCATTTATTAAAGTATATGTTCAGGGTAATTATTTACTCTAGAAATGTTGGGTTGTTTTAACGCTGTGTTGTGCCAAATGTGGATAAACACAATGTTTTACTCAACTGAAACAACATTTTTAAATTAAACAGCTGGA